TAAATAGGAATAAATATAAAAAAAATACTCTAGATCTAGTTATATTAAATATGACTTATATAAGTCATTATATTGGTTATATATAATTTTTATTTGTATAATTAATATTCTATTAGACTAATGGTTGAATCTATTTTATTTATGTAAATATTTTTCAAATTTAAAATTAATTTAGTAATGTAACTTTATAAAAAATAAATTATATTTTTATACTATTTATTTAATTGTTTTAAACTATATGCTATTCAAAAATAAGTAAATATATCTAATTAATTTAAAATTTAATGTGAATATTATAAGTAGTATATGTATAAAATTAACTATTGATGTAAAAATTGATATAAATTATATTATCTAAATTAACAAATAACTCATAAAAATTTTAAAAATTTACCCTCTAATATAAATTCGTAACTTCGTACCTATCTCTAGCCAAGTGGTTAGCTATTTTCTCTTTGGGGGTATTTGATTTACTTTTCAAGCAATATCTCTTTTAAGATTCTATAAAGATATTTTGGTACTTAAACGTCTAAGTATTAGAGCCTAACTCATGTAATAAAGAAGACAACATTGCCTTTACAGTTGCTTTCGTATACGGCATCGTTTTTGGCCAAAATACCCAAAATTCAATATGGAACAAAGAACATACACGATGGATATCAGCAGGGGACAACCCCAAACCGTAAATGGCCCCACATTTGAGCTTTTCCATCGCAGAACACGAGGTGCGCGATTTCAAATTTTAGGACCTGTTTGGTGCAGATCATGGGAAGGGCTTTTTGGCTCTAAAAGCACAAGCTGCACCAAACGGATCAGCTTCCCAAACTTGCTGCAGTTTTTTAGAAACTCAGCTTCTTACCGTTCCTTTTCAATTTCTTACTTCCACGGGAGCTTCTCGCTCCATGTTTAGTGAAATTGACATGGTCTTTCTATTTTATCCTCACACTTCCTTCTATTTACGAAAAAACTAGTATATAAAGAACCGATTTATAACATCACACTGACCAACCCAGGCACAGTTATTTCTTCTTCCTCATCCAATCAGAGAAACAAATCGAAAATACTCATCCAATCAGAGAAACAAACCAAAAATATCTAATCAAAGAAACAAACCGAAAATATTTACTGTATTCTTTCTCATTTTCTTTTCCCCTAAACTGAAAATCCCTTCATCTTCCGTTCGGAGATGAACCCAGGAGCTGGGTTCGCGGCAAACCCTGCACTTGGATTCCAAGACGAACCCGGCACCTGGGTTCTGAGACGAACTAGGCGCGGGTTTGTCGCTAACCCCTCCCTTGGGTTCCGAGACGAACCAAGGAGTTGGGTTCCGTTCACGCGAACCCAAAGGT